CTCTCCGCTAATTTTGGGTGACAAGGGCTCTCCGTCTTCTACAGTAAGTCCTTCTCTGAGCTTTGCAGCTGTGGTTCGAGGGTCTCCAAGCGAAGGAGATTCGAGGGCTAACGTTACAAAGCAGAAAGAGTCTCCTCCTCCGGATAACTCTGGGGTGCAGGGGAGATCTGATACACTTCCTCAAGAGCAGAAAGTTGGTGAGGGGAAGGGTAAGAAGATTTGGATTGAAGAGGCTCAGGCTGATTTTCAGGTGGTGAGAAGAGGGGGTAAGGGTGGAAAGGGGAAGAAGCGTAAATGAAGATGCTGACCTGGAACACTAGGGGGTTTGTAGCAGATAGTAAATATACTGATATAAGTAGGAAGATAAATAAGTATGGTGTTAGTATAGTAGCTATTCTAGAACCAAGAATAAGGAAGAAGGAGGAGGCTAAGTTTTTGAGTAAGCGGTTTAAGGAGTGGGATAGTAAGATTGTTTATAATTCTGATAACCTTGGGAAAATATGGTTGACATGGAAGAAGGAGGCTCCATTGAGGGTCCTGCATAGCTCTGATCAGTTCATACATGTCTTGGTAAACTCTGTAGTACCTTACTTTGCCACTTTTGTTTATGCATCGAATGAGGAAAGAGACAGAAGGTTGTTATTTGAAGATCTGAGAAGAATTAAAGTAGTGGGGATGCCATGGATGATTTCTGGTGATTTCAATGTCATCAGGAACCCTGCAGAAACATCCACTGTTTCGAGCATGACTGCCCACATGAAAGAGTTTGATAGTTGGATACTGGAATTGGAAATGGAAGATCATCAGGCAACAGGGCCTTGGTTTACCTGGCTAAACAAGCAGGATGCCCGTCCTATTGCAAAGAAGTTGGATAGGGTTTTGGTCAATTTTGATTGGTTAGATAAGATTGCAGGTAGCACTGCTCATTTCCAAAAACCTGGAATTTCAGATCATTGTCCCATTTTGGTGGAGACTGAAGCAATGCAAAAGTCACTACCAAAACCGTTCAAGTTTTTCAGGTTTTGGACTGCTCATCCAAAATTTGATCAGCTGCTGAAGGAGGCATGGGAGTCTGGAGTGTCTGGTCCTCCTATGATCAGGGTTTACAAGAAGCTTCGAATTCTGAAGAAATCACTTAGACAGCTCAACAGGGAAGAGTACTCGGAGTTAAGGGACAGGGTTAAGCAGAAGGAAATGGAATTGGAGGAGGTACAGGGTATTGCTCTACATAACCCTTCCAGTGACATTTTTGAAAAAGAGGCTGGATTAGCTAAAGATTTTAGCATGTTGCTTCAGGCTGAGGAATCTTTCTTGAGACTCAAGTCTAGAGAGATCTGGCTTAAGAAGGGAGATTCTAACTCTCCATTCTTTCATCGCTCCTTGAAAACAAGACAGAGGCGTAATACCATTACTATGCTGAAGGATGAAAATGGAAATAAGGTAACTGACTTGAAGCAGATGGGGGAAGTTGCAGAAGGTTTTTACAAAAAATTGTTGGGACAGAAGGATGAGGGGGTGAAAGCAGAGTCTGATGAGTTCTATACTGAGTTAATCAGAAAGAGAGTTCCAATAGAGAATGATCTTTGTGCACCTGTTACCTCTGAAGAAATCAAAGCGGTGGTCTTTGGAATGAATGGGGACAAGAGTCCTGGGCCAGATGGATACTCAGCAGCCTTTTTTCAACATGCTTGGCCGGTTATAGGAGACGAGGTAACTCTTGCTGTTAAGTCCTGTTTTCTTGAAAGTAGAATGCCAAGGGAGGTGAATGCAACTATCTTAGCCTTGATCCCTAAGATACAGAATCCTGATGAAATGCGTTTCTTTAGGCCAATCTCATGTTGCAACACAATTTATAAGATTATTGCAAAAATTGTGGCTAATAGACTTAGAATTCAGCTCCCTCATTTGATTAGTCTGAATCAGACAGCCTTTATACAAGGAAGATCTATTGGGGATAATATCTTATTGGCCCATGAACTAGTGCATAAGTATGCACAAAAGAATGTTTCTCCAAGGTGTGCCCTGAAAATTGATTTAATGAAGGCATTCGACTCAGTTGATTGGGACTTTATTTTCTCAGTTTTACAGCACATGGGTTTCCCTGATCAGTTTATAAGCTGGATTAAAATGTGTGTTGGAACCCCAATGCTTAGTGTAGGGTTGAATGGGGGACTAGTTGGGTATTTCTCTGCAAGTAAAGGGTTGAGGCAGGGATGCCCATTATCACCCTATCTGTTTGTGATTGCCATGGAAATCTTTACATGTCTGATTGATAGAGAGGCTAAGAAGGGGCATTTCCCTTTCCATCCTATGTGCAAAAAAGTGGGCTTGACCCATCTCTGTTTTGCTGATGATTTGTTAGTGTTTTCGGATGGGTCAAATTATGGTTTTCAGAGACTTAATGAGATTCTAACAAGATTTAGGATGCTGTCTGGTCTGAAAGTGAATCCTAGCAAATGTGAATTATTCTTTGGGGGGATATCTGGATCTGAGCAGAAGGTTAGGGCAGATAGATATGGGTTTGCACTGGGTAGATTCCCTGTGAGGTATCTTGGGGTCCCTTTGTCCTCTGGAAAGCTTACAGTTGCTGCTTGTAGACCTCTTATTGACAAAATTGTAGCTCGAATCAATAGGTGGAAAACCAAGTTTCTCTCCTATGCTGGTAGAGTTGAATTGGTGAGTTCAGTCCTCTATAGTCTTCATCAATATTGGATGGCGGTTTTTCTCCTTCCCAAAGCAGTTATAAAAGAGGTAGAGAATATATGCAGCAACTTTCTTTGGGGTGTGGGTCAGAATGGGAGGGTCAGAGCAACAATAGGATGGAAAAACTTGACTTTTCCAAAGAAGGAGGGAGGTTTAGGTCTGAGAGACCTAAGCACCTGGAACACAGCTTGTATCACAAGACACATCTGGCTTATTCTTATGCAACATGGATCATTATGGGTGGCTTGGATTAGTTTGTATAAACTGAAAGGTCAGGGACTGTGGGAGTATGGTGGAGGTTCAGGGTCCTGGAACTGGAAAAGAATATTGAAAGCCAGGCATAAGGTTCAGGGGCATTTCCATCAGCAAGGACAGCAGGTGTTTTGGGATCAGGAAAAGATGGAAAGATACTCTATCAAGAAGGTTTGGAATACTCTGAGACCTAGAAGACAAGAGGTAGACTGGTATAGAATTTTGTGGCAGGGGGCTTCTATACCGAGGAATAGGTTTATTGCTTGGCTTATTCTTAATCAGGTAATCTCAACCAAGGAGAGGATGATCAAATGGGGCTACTCGGGCAACCTTGGCTGTGTTTTCTGTAATTGCCTTCTTGAAACAAGTGACCACCTATTTGCAGAATGTGTCTTTTACAGGGAGTTGAAGTTTAAATTGTATGGGAGAAGATATGCAGTCTCGTCCTCATTGAGCTGTGAGATAAGTTGGGTAAAGCTGAAGTTTGGATCTCAGTCGCCTGAAGCTCAAGCAGGTAGAGCGATGTGGCACAGTTTAATTAGCCAAATTTGGCGAGAGAGGTGTTGCAGGGTTTACACGGGTGTGTGCAGGGACAGAGATGGATTATGCAGGATTATTAGAGAGGAGACTTCTGTCATTTTTGGTAGTCAGGTAGTAGAATTACTTGTATAGGTTATTAAACTCTTTTTCTCCTAACTAGTAAGGATGTTACTAGTACTTTCTTTTTGATGGAATGAGAAGATACCCGATTCATCAAAAAAAAAAAAAAGTTGAATTACGTTTTAATTTAATTTGTTTTTTCTCCAAGGAAAAAAAACCGTTGCCGTGAACAAGTGTCGTCTTCGTCACTCCCCCGCTCGGATACTGTCTCAAAACCACTTCCGGTGAGTTTTCCATCGGCGATCCGAGCTACCATAGGCCTCCATTGGCTCCGTACCACACGATCCGAAGCCGAAGAAACAGAGGTTCGCCCTTGGTCTGCGTGCCACCCTCACAGGCAGAGGTGGCAATTATAATCCAAATACATGAATCAAATCCAATTCATCCACCAAATTATCCACCTAATCCAATCCATTTAAATCCAATCTATTTGATCTAAATCGAATTGGATTGGTGGATTCATGGATCAATCCATGGATCCAATTATCCAAATGGCAAATTACGATTTGGTACCTATATTTTTTATATTTTATATTTTGGTACCTAAAATTTATATTTTTATACGAAAAATATCATTGGAAAATTACATTTTGGTATCTAAAATTTTTCATTATGACATTTTAGTACCAAAACTTTTCAAATTGTACATTTTGGCCCAAGCCTTGGATGTCATTTGGATTCATGGATCAATCCACCAATCCATTTGATCCAATCCATGAATCTACCAATCCATTTGATCCATGAATCCACCAATCCAATCCACGAATCCGATCTAATTGCCACCTCTACACAGGCCCCATAATAGCTTATACAATAACCAATGTATCAAATTAATATCCTGCATATCGACATCAATTATATGCTAACCAAATGGTGAGCCATGTCCTTGATATACAGATCCGATAATGCCACTTTCATGGATTGATTCCCTAGAACTAATACATCATATTCAATCACACGTCAGTAAGGCTATGATCCAAAGCAACTATATAGGCTTAATGGCAAGTTTGGTCTCTCGAATTGCTACAAAATTTCACGTTTGCCACTCAAATTAATTTATTCCATTTATAGTCACTTAAATTAGGTTAACAGTCCAAGTTTGGTTACTGGCCGTTAGTCTCCGTTAACTTTTGCTAATGTGGCGGTCAACTCTTATAGTTGACCATTAAATGCATGATGTGACAATTAAAAAATTAAAAAATAATTTAAATTAATTATTTTTATTTTCCACCTAATTATTATAAAAATAAAAAAAATCCTAATTCCTTTTAATTATTATTTCCACGCCAGTCGCCGTTGCTCTCCTCTCAGGTCAACGACCTCCCCCGGCCGGCCAAGCTCCGCGTGGTGGAGGAGAAGTAGGCGGTGGCGGAGGAGGAGGTGGTGGGGCGTTCACCATCAAAGCTGTGGATGACCCGAGGACCTTGAACAAGATCGTGTACATTAGGCCGCCGGCCAATACGATCTGCTTCAACGATCTTGTTACCTTGTGGGAGAAGAAAATCGGCAAGAAGCTGGAGAGGATCTACATCTCTGAAGAACAGCTTCTCGAGAACATCCGAGGTAATTAATCGAGTGTCTGTGTGTTTCTGTGTATAACTCTGTTTGCTTGATACAGAGTCTGCACCGCCGCTGAATGTGATACTGGCAATCGGGCACTCGGTGTTTGTGAAGGGAGACCATACCAACTTCGAGATAGAGCCGTCGTTTGGAGTTGAAGCGTCGGAGCTTAAACCTGATGTTGAGTACTCGACTGTGGATGAGTATCTTACCCAGTTTGTCTGAGTATTTTTTTTTTTTTGCAAAATCCATCTGTATAGCCATAACTTTCACAATTGTGACAAATATAGCCATTACTATTCGAAAACCACAAATAGCCACTTCCGTCCATTTAGGTAACGGTGTTAGTATACACTAACGGCTGTAGCTGAGTTGGCCAATGAGTTACCAGATGTATGTGACGTGGAAATACTGACGTGGAAAAAAAATATAAAAGATGAAAGCGACCCACCCAGCTGCCCGAGCCCACTCGTCCATTCTTTCCTTATCCCTTCGTTTTCTTTCCCCCTTCACCTCTCTTCCTCCGACCACGAGACGACGACGATGGACTGATTCAGTCCCCATTCTCCGAACTTCCTCCGATAACCCCCTTCCAGTTTTCGTCCGTCGCCAGTCTTGTCTATAAATCCCCATCCCAACCCCGAAAACGTCAGCTATTATCATCCCCGATTTCGCCTCCCTTCCAATGACGAACCCTGCCATGCATCCCGACTAATCGAATGGCGGCCACCATTTTCCGACGCAACCCAAGCATCCTAATACTGAAGAAAGCATCGACGAAGCCTAGAAGAATCTTTTCTCGCCGATTCTCCAAAACCCTAATTTCACAGTAGATTGCAATTTCTGGCGCGATTTGTGAGTTATTCAGGGAGAGGGGAGAGGTTGGTTGGGGGTTTCGATTATGAGTATGCCGATTCTTACCTCCTCTTGTGTCTTTTTGTAGTTGTGAATCGCTGTAAAGAAGGAAAGAGACTCGACTGATTCCAGAAGGGACCACTTCGGATTGAATCTGTGATTTTCGTGAGATTGCCCCTCAATCCGACGGTGAGTGCCTCCAAAGCTTGGGTAGAAGAGTCATTGTTGTCGTTCTTTGTCAAAAGCCCTAGAATAGAATAATGGTGGAATCTGTGTTTGTCGCGAGAATGCTACTGTTTGTTTGTTAGTGAATTAAAATAGGCAAAATATATCTTGATTAGGGTTAGTAATGACTTTATTTATTGGTTTATTAATTCTTCTTAATCTTGTTTATGGTTTAGATGGCTGATTCATACGAGGAGCAAGGTGGTGAGAATGATCCTAACCACGTAGGATCAGAGAACGCTAGCTTTGGTAATTTGGCCGGTGAAGATGAAGCTGCATCTGTGGCACGAGATGTGTTCCACATTTACGATTCTGACGATGCAGACACGAGTGATGATGAGTACCATGATGCTCGGAACAATTTACGCGCCTATGGGGAAATGAGAAGGAGGAAGGTGAAGGCAAGGATAGATGGTCATGGGGAAGAGGTTGAACAACTAGATGAGTATGAGGCATATGTTTCTGAAGATGATGTAACTGATGGTTTGGAAGATGATTTGGAAGGAGCTGATCAGGCAGCAGTAAATGATGGTGCACCAAGTCAAGTAGTTGAAGATGATGTAGTCGAAGATGATGGTGCACCTCCTGTTCAAGAACCAAGAAGAGAAGACTCTCAACACTCTAGCTACAGACTGTCAGAGGAATCTGATCATGTTAGGGGCAACCTTTCAGACGAGGATGGTGGAGAGCCATTTGGGGATGCTCCCTACTATGATCCAGAATGTGATCACAAGAAGTTTCAATTTATTCCAAGGTTGAAGTTTGAAAGTCCAGAACAGTTCAGGAACGCGGTAGTCTTGCATTCTGTTGTTGCTGGTGCTAGCTTGAGATGGGTTAGGAGCACACCATCAAGAAAAGAGGTGATTTGCAAGGACACAAGATGCAAATGGAGGGTGGTGGCTAGTTGGTTTAGGAAGGACCAGTCTTTCATGGTGAGGAAGGTAGGGCTTCACCATTCTTGTTCACGTAAGATGTGGGTGAATCAAGTTACTGCATAATGGATTGCATCTGACATGCTTGAGAGGTTTTGCATCAATCCACAGTGGGCTCCAGACCAGATAATGGCAGAGGTGAAACTAAAATACAACATGAAAGTGGACAAGAGGAAGTGTTATAGAGCAAAGGTTGCTGCAATTCGAATGCTTAGTGGGTCGTTGAAGGAGGAGTTTAAGGCAATCAGAAGCTATGTTGCTGAAATGATGAAGAGGGATCGACATGGGAGGTTTGTCTTGGAGGTTCAACCACATCCTTCTGAAGACAAAGTTTATTTTCAGAGGCTATATGTTGGTTTTTCATGCTTGAGGGATGGGTTTGTGGATGGATGTCGGCCAATGTTTGGCTTGGACGGTTGTTTTTTAAAGGGAGAGGTAAAAGGCATGTTGTTGATTGCGGTTGGGAAGGATGGAAACAACCAGATGTATCCACTAGCTTGGGCTGTTGTTGAGAGTGAGAATGCAGATTCGTGGAGGTGGCTTATCAATATATTGTCCCTAGACTTGAACATGCTGGATGGAAGGGGTTGGTCTGTTATTTCTGACCAACAGAAGTGTGGTGTTGAGGGCCATAATGCAAGGTCATGTAAAAATCCCTCTGTTGCACAAGCCCCGGTAAGTTTTACACAAATACCCTTCGATTTTCCTTGTATAGTTTATTTCTAAATTGCTTGCTAACTCGAAAACACATTGATGTCAGAGAGGAACATCTAGACCTAGAGCAAGTGCTCCCAGGCCTCGAGTTGAAGCTGCTGCGGCTCACAATGGGGCAAACACTACTAAGAGGACAAGGACAAGTCATTTCTCTAAGTGTGGTTCGATTCAACACAATGTTCGAACTTTCCCCCTCAATCATGGAACTGGAATTCAGGTATCAAATAGAATGTGAATGTTGAGTATGAATGTGAATGTGGTTGTGGTTGTGTGATTCTTAAAGTTTACAACTTGCATTCCTTAGGCAATTAGGCTGAATGTTGATGATAGAAGAACAATTCAGCGAGAAATGCGAATTGCAACAGCAGGTGTGGGAGTTTATGTAAACGAGAATACTGGAAACCAATATGTTAGGGTAAGTTTTGATCCGAATGAATCGTAGGTGTTTGCCCCATTGTGCAAACTGTCAACTAAATTATACGTTTGGTCCTTCTGATTACAGCTCAATGGAGCTGCTGGGCGTTCTCCAGTGGTCAGTCAGCAAGCTGTTGTGGATGTCCAAGGGAGCCAGCCACCAGTTACTCAACCTTAGATGTGGCAAAAGCTGGTGGATCCATTTTGTCAACCCCATTTTTTTGGACTTGAAGTTAGGATGGCAGGAATTCTATTCATGCTATGTATTGGGGTTGTGTGAGGAACGTTTAACTGTCTCACAATTCGGATTAAATTTGTAGTGTATGGAACAGATGGTTGTGCTCTATTCGGATTATATATTGTTGGGTATTGTAGGAACAAATGGTTGTGTAATGTGGATGTGTTCGGTAGTATATTGCACCTTGTATTTTGAACATCTTCCCATCCAGGAAAGACAACCATTGCATTAGTAGCTTAGTAGAATTGTTAACATTAGCCAATTAAGACAACCAAGTACATCAGAGAACCATTACATAACAGATTTGTATCCCCACAAAACAATAAGGAAAGAGGCATTCACAACAAGTAGAAGTGTTAACATAATACGAATAAATCGAAGATCATCATTCAATCTCCTTCCTTGGGCTAACAGAGTCTCGCGATCTTTCATCGATACCATCATATCTTGAGCTCGTCTCTTTTTCTCCTTCTTCCTCCTCTCTGCCTTAGACTCAGCGAGGAGCAAACTGTGCTCGAGTTGGCAAATTAAGCTCTCCATAGAACCCTTTCGGTCCTCCATTTCATCCCCAACCATCTCAACCCACCTAAAAAACCGACAATTTTTCTTCCCTGGATTTTCACTATCATTCTGCACTATCCATATGGTATAGTTAGAGGTAAGAACACTCAAAGAGACCGAAATAACTCAAGAATCAATCGAGACCTTACCTGCTTCCAATAAGGACATCCATAAAATTGCCTGCCTGGGTTAGTTTCGGTACCCGACGTCTTAATCACGGCGGGAACATTGTGCTTGCAAAGCACAGTCCCACACCCGCTGACCTTGCTCGCTGAAGAAGAGCCCCGCTGTGACATCGCTGCAAATCGAGAAAATGAAGAGGATTTCGGAACGGCAGATGCGCGAGAAGAAAAGGAATGAATGACGGCGGTGGTGGACTCCAGTGACGGCGTCGTGGAATCGAGTTGCGGCGTCGTGGAATCGAGCGGCGGCGTCCTGTAATCGAGCTGCTGCGGCGTGGAATCGAGCGGCGGCGTCCTGGAATCTAGCGGCGGCGGCGTGAAATCGAGCGGCTGCGGCGTGGAATCGAGCGGCGGCGGCCTTGTCTCCAGCGGCGGCGTCGACTCCAACAAGTGCGAACCCTAAATCGTGAGACTCTTTGTTTTTCGGTTTGTAGGGAAGGAGAAGGGAGGTAAGGTAAGTAAGCAGATTTTTTTTTTTACACGTCCACGTGTGCATTTTTGCTGAAGTGTCAATCATGTGGAGGTCGGATGGCGTCCTCGTCAGCGTTCCGTCAAACGATTTAATGGAACCGCAGACGGTGTTAAAGTTTCTTACGTTTTTGGCTAGATTTGTCACACTACCCTCCGTTTTTTTGGCTATTTGTGGTTTTCGAATAGTAATGGCTATATTTGTCACAATTGTGAAAGTTATGGCTATACAGATGGATTTTGCCTTTTTTTTTTTGTGGTGTCTGTGTATTATGGTAATTGGGGAAAAATACATAAAGATAGCTTTTTAGCTTGATATGATGATGAAATAGTAACACTACACTACCTAACCTACCTTGAATTGCCACCGCCTACTTCTCCTCCACCACGCCGGGCTTGGCTGGCCTGGAGAGGTCGTCGAGCTGAGGGGAGAGGAACGGCTACGGGCGGTGGAAAATAACAATTAAAAGGAATTAGGTTTTTTTATAATAATTAGGTGGAAAATAAAAAATAATTAAATTAAATTATTTTATTAATTTTTTAATTGCCACGTCACTCATTTAACGGTCAACTATAAGAGTTGACCGCCACATCAGCAAAAGTTAACGGAGACTAACGGCTAGTGACCAAACTTGA